ATATATATATATATATATATAAAATCTAAATTTAAATATGAGAACATTAATATAATCATTTGGACCAACTTATTGTAATGTATTATAATTAGCAAGTTTATTTTATTAATAAATAACTAGAAACATTTATTTAAATTGATAGTTCATCCAAAACTATCATTATTTACTCACCCTTCACTTGTCATAAACTTGTCATAAACATAAACTTCACTTGTTTGAGTTAAATTATTTTGGAAAATGTTGGAATTCTGTAAACATTGACTTCCATAGTACTTGTTATTCCTATTATGGATAATAATTACTACGTTCTAACATTCTTCTAAATATCTTATTTTAAGTTCAACTGAGAAATCAAAACCCTAAAGGTTTAGAACCAAAAGAGGGTGACTAAATAGTGAATAAATTTTCATTTTTGGATGAACTAATCCTTCAACAGAAGGGACTAGTAGCATTTGGTAGATGGCTTTTTTTTTAATGGCCAAAGACTGGGGTTGAGTTATTGAAGTCATTCCACAGCAGGGAGCAGTTAAGGTAAAAGTCTGAGCCTCTTTGGTACAGCACCACATCACACCATTTACTTGTGGTACACAAGCTTGTGGGGGGTGTATAATTCTACAATACTGTATTTGGGTGTATGTTAACAGCGCCTTGTTTTCATAATTGATTGTTCTTGGCTTTCATTGAAGGAGTTATGGCTAAAGAACCAAGCCGGGAATTTGAGAAAAAGTGTTGAGATGCACAAAATGATAAGCAGTTCTCTCTAGACAGGGTGAATTTGAAGGTGATGGTGCTTCATCCAGCAAGCAAACCCTATCAAGCGGAATGAGATGTGAGCAGGTCAGATTATAAGGATGGATTGGGAGGTATACTCTCTAAAATAAAGTTACAAGAGCCGTCACTGGGGCAGTACCTTTTTAAAAGATATATATTTGTTCCTAAAGAGTCCATATTGTTACCTGATGGGGAGGATGTTTTAGATAAACAAAACTCTGAGACACACTATTGTCTAAGCTGATAACGTCAAATCATTTGAGTCAATGCCATTCAAGTAAATGCATGAACTAATTCTCTCTTTACTCTTTCAGTTTTCAAGATTACACAAAACAGGAAGAAAGGCAGGAAGTGGTGTGTTTCAAATGCTTCATCTATCATTTCAATCATGCGTTCGTCACGAAGGAGAGATGCTAAAAGTCTGTAAGACATTACACACTTAGCAAGACACACTTAGCATTATTTGGAACCAACAGTTAATTCGGAAGAGCCAAACGGTAGGATGTTGTTTGTAAGATTGTGTGGAATATTCAGTGTACGGTCAACAAGTTCAGATGTTCGGCAACCTCATGGTGAAGTTGCATCATAATGTCCTTTACCATGACGAGATCAGGTGCCTTCAAACTAAGCATCCTTTTGTTCATCACATTCCTCCTGTGCCTCCCAGAGTTATTCCCAAGTAAGTAAAAACAGCTAAGTACTATGGTTTCTGAGGAATTAAGGATAGTAGTGTGTGTTTGTCTGAACATGTGCATTTCAGAAAGAATGTTTAGATGTTAGAATAAGTAAAACATCTGGGTTTTCTGTGTCTTCAAGAGACACATTAGAGATTTTAGTGCATCATCATATATCTGTTTAGACTTTTGAACTTTAAAATAGGCTAAAACAGTTGTCTGTACTGTCAAATGTGACTACATCATTGTGGTCTGGACATGGTATGAGGTGTAAAAACCACTGAGGTGTGTGTAGGGCACGTCTATGGATCAGTGAGTATTCTTAAAATACATAACATTGTGTGTTTGAAAAGAATGCCGAAAATGTGTACCTTCACAAATACCTCACGATAGCTTGTGATAATAGAGAGGTAGCCTTAAAGGGATAGTTCACCCAAAAATTAAAATGTCCTCATCATTTATTGAATCAAGGGGTTCTATACTTTACATTTCTTTGTACTTCTGAATACAAAATAAGATATTCTGAATAATGTTGGAAAAAGCAGTCATTGAACCATATAGTTGGAACAAAAAATACTATTAAAGTCAACCTTTATCAGCCATAAACCTTAGGTATAATTTATAATAATAATAAAAAAACACTATGGTGGTTTATTAGGTTACAGCTTTTAAACAGGAAATGCCACTCAAAAGTTGCACTAATAGTAACAGAAAATGGGTGTTTAAGGCAACAGGAAGTGCAGCTTTTCAAAATATACGCACATGTATGATAAAGATGTCACATAAATTAACCTATTGTAATTTTGAACTATAATTATTGTAACATTAAAACCTGTTCTGTCTGTGTTTGTGGAGCTTTTAGTGATATGTTATTGTTATGTCTGTAAGCAAGCCAATACGGATATTGGATGAAAAATAGGTCAATGGAATATTATTTTAATTTTTTTTATTTATTAATTTTTTATAATACATTTACAAAATCACTTTGATATTTATTAGAGATCAAGAAGGTAAAACTATCAGGATAATTTAATATGCATTTCCCAAAAGCTCAAAAAATATTTTAGCAACCTTTTCTTTACAATGTTATTGGAAAAAAAAATAGACAAATATAGATGGGCTGGTACAAAAAAGACTCAATCAGTCAACAGGCAAGTATCATAACATATTAAACAATAATTTTTTTATTGACTAGGGCAGTGGTTCTCAAAATAGGGTTTGCAAGACAAATGGGGGGTGGGGGGGGGGGGGGGTATAGAATTGCAGTGTTTTATCCATAACCTGCAGAAGATAAAAAATTGCATTTAACAGTTATAAAAAACAACATGCAAATAAAAAGCCAGTCTTTCAATTATTTTTCCACTTGATTGCAACCCCTTGGGTTATTACGCAGATTAACGACACAGCAATTGTGTTAGTTGCAGCAGATTGTTTTGACGGCACAATGTCAAGCTTTAACACCTTTATGCAACTCACACACATTCAAAATAAAGGCTAAGACTGAACAGACAATCAACAAGTGGCAGTCACCAAAATTAAACCAAGAAAAGTCTTGTGCTGTAAATATTGTGTTCACCATTCTCATTATGTGAGGTTAATATTAAATTTAACAAATGAATAATGAATATAAAAAAATTATATGGTTTTTAGACTGTTGCACTTTTCTTTCTTTTTTTTTTGTCAAAAAGCTCATTTAGATCCTACAAGTGATGTTTGTATGTTTTTTACTACATATGAGGATAGTGGAGTCTTTACCACCTCTGAGGATAGTAATCGTGAGTCACTGGAACTGTTATTTTGAGGGTCGCAAGTTAAAAAGTTTAAGAACTCCTGAACTAGTGGTTCTCTTCAAGTTTAGGACCCTCTATCAAATGGCAGAGATTCTTTCTTCATTCAATTTAACAATAAAATATGGTGAAACATGCAGCAGTTTGAAAGTCTACTCATCTATTCTTATGTAAATAAATAAAAATGCCAAGAATAATGATTATGTTAATAGCTTAACTACATTTATCAATGGATGGATGGATGGATGGAAGGATAGGTATTGTACGTCTGGCAACACTGAAGTGCAGTGAAAAAAAGAAGAGAAAATGTGAAATGAAAGTTTGAAATGAAAAAATAATATATATATATTTATATTCAAAATATGTTTCAGAGTCATTAAAAATAGATATTAATTTTATAAAGTCATATAAAAAAACACAAATACAAAGCTACATGGCTAGACACAAAATGCAGGCACTATACATCATTTCAAACCTTAAATAAGAAACATTATCTTTTATTTTCTCGCTAAGTGTTGAAGTAATGTAATTTCGTTCTGCATTACATCTATCATCACTGTTATGCTGTTGACACCCAGATCTACATTAGCACCGTTCCTAATCTCACTTCGGCTACGTCAGTTCTATCAGCCTGTTTACCGGAAATCAAAGCATGGGTGAAGCAGAACTTTCTTAAACTGAACAGTTCTAAAACTGAGATTTTACTCTTTGGCACTCCCACCGTTAACAGGTATAGTGGTTTTAAGCTCTCGATTAATGACATTCAATTATCCCCCTCTCTCCAGGTCCGAAACCTCGCAATAGTATCTGGATGCAGCCATTATGATGCAAGCTGAGATTGCATCACTCAGCGACACAATGTCAGACACAATGCACTTAATGGAGTGAGTAATGTCACTATGATGGGTAGGGTTAGGTGAGCGCAATAAAAAGCATTGGATGCAGCTCAGATTGCACTGCATCAGGTTTGCATCCAGAGCCCTCTCCAACCTCGTGGTACTATTTTATGCTCAGCTCAGTATTGACTTAACTAAAACAGCCTTTTTCCATCTGCGTAATATTGCACACATTATACCATTTCTGTGACGGCTAGATGCTGAGAGGCTTACCTTCATAACATCCCGTCTTGATTTTTGTAATTCGCTTTTTGGGGGGTCACGTGCAAATTCTCTTAAAAGGTTCCAGTATATTAAAAATTCTGCCGCACGTGTTCTGACTTATACATCCTTCCTCTTTCCATTACATCACATCTTTTCTTCAGCAACTACATTGGCTATCAGTTAGGTCACGTATTGATTTTAAGACTCTCTTAACTGATAAAGCAGTCCATAGGCTAGCTCCTGATTACATATGTGATCTTGCAACACTTTCTACTCTTGCTCACAGTTCTCGCTATGCTTCAGGTCTTACCCTGTTCCAGCCACACTGCAGACTTAACACTATGGGTGTTAGGGCTTTTTCATACTGTGCGCCAAAATTATGGAATGCAATACCCATTAACATTAGTAATGCTGTGTCTCTGGATTGTTTTAAGAAGCTTCTTTAGACTCACCTCTTTAGCAGTGTGTGATCTATTGTTACCTTACTTATTGTGATACTTTCCTACTTATTGTTTTTACTTTTTTATTGTTTTTTTGTTGTTGTTTTTTGCCTTGTAGCATTTTGAGCTTAAGAAAAGAGCATTACAAATGAAATGCATTATTATTATTATCTACTGTGATGTTTTGAATAAAATACAGGAAACTGAACTGGACATCATTTTGTTTTTCCTCAGACATATCTCAAATTGAGTTCCTCTGTGAGCCTTTCGACTTTTGCACATCACAAAGCAATGCACAGCTGTGTGGTCTTTCTGACCCTGCATGTGCCACAGAAACTATAAACACCAGCGGTCCACACAGACAGGACGGCTGGTATGCCTGTGCATCTCAAATGGATCTGAAGCTTCTCCAAAACAACACTTCACAGTCAGGTGGGACGCTACTTTTATTATATATTTTATGTGTGAAATTTACTGCTGCTTTTTATTCTTTTTATTGTCCACAACAGTAAACATTAACAATGGCTGTATGATTCACAGGAGAGCATGTGATGGCCGTTCTGACCATGAAAGCAGCCAATCTCTCAGTGTGGAACTACAGTGTGTTTGCTTTTCTCAACAACACTGATCTATATGCTAAAGCCCACGATGAGCAGACCCTCTTCTACTGCAATCTTCCACCAGACAACAGCAAATGTCCAGGTCTGAGCATTTCAAGACAAGAAAACAGCAGTTTTTCTCATCGAAGCACAAATAGAGTTGGAGTCAAAATTATTAGCCCTCCTTTTTCAAATATTTCCCAATTGATGTTTACCAGAGCAAGGAATTTTTCACAGTAATTCCTATAATATTTTTTCTTCTGAAAATAGGACCTATTTGTTTTTGTATTTTGTCAAGAATAAAAGCAGTTTTAATAAAATAAAATAAAAAATTTTAAGGTCAATATTATTAGCCCCCTTAAGCAAGATTGTCTAAAGAACAAACCATTGTTGTACATTAACTCTAATTACCCTAACTTCTCTAATTGTCCTAGTTAAGCCTTTAAAGAAGAAATGAAGCACTCAGTCAAGTTTACATTACTTTGTACATTGGATTCCACTTTAATGAAAATATATTAATCAAACTCAATTAATGTAACTATTTAGAGAAAAACAGCATGTTTTGACAATATGAGCGAAGCAAAGCGTGTCAAATGATCGGTAATAAAAAAGGGGGAAAAAATGATTACATATAGGCGACGCAGTGGCTATAGTGTGTGTGTGTGTGTGTGTGTGTGTGTGTGTGAATGTGTTTGGATGTTTCCCAGAGATGGGTTGCAGCTGAAAGGGCATCCGCTGCATAAAACATATGCTGGATAAGTTGGTGGTTCATTCCGCTGTGGCAACCCCAGAATAATAAAGTGACTAAGTCAAAAAAGAAAATGAATGAATGATTAAATAAATATATATTTTTATATTAGACACATATCTGATGCTTGTTTTTGCAACAGCTCCATGCCCACAACTTCACACATTCAGTTAATTAGGCTTTACGGTCTCTGTGTTTAGTCCTCTACTTCCACTGTATCTGTTCAGTTGAGGGAACGGAACCAACCCTGTGATGTCAGACATAACATTATTCCTGGATGGCGGCCCCCTAGCTCTAAAACCTATAGTAAAACTTGCCGTTTTTTTTTAAATGGTTACATTAATCGAGTTTGTTTATCGTATTTTCATTAAAGAGGAATCCAATGTACATAATAATGTAAACTTGACCGAGTGCTTCATTTCCCCTTTAAATGTCACTTTAAGCTGAATCTTTGTATCTTGAAAAATACCAAGTTAAATATTATTTACTGTCATCAAAGCAAATATAGAAGACATCAGTTATTATAAATGAGGTATTAAAATGATTATGTACAGAAATGTGGTGAAAAAATCCAATAAACAGAAATTAATTCAGGAGGGCTATTATTTTGACCTCAATAAAAACCAGTTACTTCTTCACTTGAAACAACTTCACTGTCTTTTGAATTAACAGTGTTAAAGGATGAGGTAAAGTGCCAAGCAACCAGCAGCAGTTTCCTGTTTTACTATCATGAGCACAACGTAACTGCAAGCCCTGCTGAATTACCAAATACGCAAGCAAAAAGAGGTGAGAAACTGTCAAAAACTGAAAAAAAGGGCGGGAAACTGTCAGAAAACGTCCGCTTATGCATTTCTACACACAAGACAAATGACAATGAGCCAATGAGGGATAGTTCACTGAAAAAAATTAATTTACTCATTCTTCACTTGATCAAAACCTTTTCGAGTTTCTTTCTTCTGTTGAACACTAAAGGAGATATTTTGAAAAATGTTGGTTGCTTCTGAGACCCACTGACTTCCAGTGTCATTTTTTTCCTGCTATGAAAGTCTATGGTTACAGGATTTCAGCATTCTTCAAAATATCTTATTTTGTGTTCAACAGTGGAAAGAACCTCATAATGGTTTAAAACTACAGTAAATGTAGAGGTCATTTACATTTTTGGGTGAACTATCCCTTTAAGGATACAATAATTACCAACATACCTTTTGTTAGTTTTTAAAATTATTGCTGGGTTTGTAAGCAAAAGCGAAGACATTTTTTGCTTTTTATATGGAATGAAGCACAAATAAGAACTGAGTCAAGGACAAATAGAGCGCCGCTTGTGTTTTTACACCACAATATGTGTCCCATGAGCGCTATGTAGTTTTATAGGTCAATAAGGCAGTGTTTGTATTCTTCTAGCAGTGTTGCACTTTCAAAACAACTACTTGATTTTTTGGTTTCAGGGCAGAAGTTCAGATGGCAGATAAGCAAGAAACAGGAGAGTTGATTGATTGATTGATTGATTGCTTGATTGATTGCTTGATTGATTGATTGATTGATTGATTGATTGATTGATTGATTGATTGATTGATTGATTGATTGATTGATTGATTGATTGATTGATTGATTGATTGATTGATTGATTGATTGATTGATTGAAAATATTTACTCATTTATTTATTCAACTATGCATTATGCTTTTAAAGATATCCAAAATATATTGGTAATATGTATTTTTACGTTTTAATAATTTTTATATTTAACTCAAGAGTTTTTGAATATGTGTATATATTATAAGCCCAATTAGATTTAATTTTAGCTATAAACCACTGTTGTCCTATGACCAGGGCCAGACGGAATCTGCGGATGTTTTTTGCTATTTCTGCTGAGAATTTTGGTAAAAATCTGTGGATTTCTGTGGAATTATTTTGGGAGTCTCATAACTAAAACCTTAATATGTGAAATGTAGTAATACCTTTTTAACTTTTATTTAATGTTTAAATTGCAAATCTAATTAGATTCACTTTATTTGGTAAACAAAGCAAGTCTCTAATAATACATCTACTAAAAGACAGAAAATATTACTTTACAAACTGCATTGTACAAAAATCAGATGAACATTTTCACATTAGTCAATAATATTACTGTACTTAATTTAAAAACTGAACAAAAATTAATTTACACACAAGTAAATAAACAGAATTAATGATTGCCTAAAAATCTGCGGAATTTCGCACGCGCAGATTCCGTGTGAGCCTACCCATGACTTGCCTAATTAACCTAACTTGCCTAGTTAAACTAATTAACCAAGTTAAGCCTTTAAATTGCACTTTAAGATGAATACTAGTATTAAATGTTATGTGCTGTCATCATGGCCAGCACAACAAAATAAATTTGATAGAAGTTATGCTTAAAAATGTTTAGAGAAAATCATCTCTCTAATAAACAGCACTTGGGAAATTAATGAAATCTAAATAAAATTTCACAGGAGTGCTGATTATTTTATATATAATTTAAATTAAGTGAATTAATTGCTAATATTAATGTTATTAATAATTATTAATATGTTTACAATGTTAACCAATGACACAGAAGAACCATTTTAAAGTTAAAATAATTCAAAGAATGTGTCCAATGAATATTTTTCCACCATAACCTTGAAAAAGTTCCCTGAATGTTAAGCGCTCTTCATGCAACCATTGATGCCGCTAAAGCACCTTTTTTAAAAGCGGCATATACAATATGAAACTAATCTATTTTTCCAAATTTACAATACTTTTCAAATCTTTTTTGCTAAATATGCAGCACATAGTGAATCACTCTTTCAGCCAGGTCTATCTACCTATCTCATAAATTCCCTCTGAAGGGAAGCTCAGGCTGTCTTTTATGTTGTCTATTGATTCGGGCATGGCAGGAGACAGCAGGACTCCATAATTCAACCTAACTTTTGATAAATATATCATAGCAATACATCAAGCCAGTCTACTCAATGTTTGACTGATCCAAAACCACAAATCCTCTTAGACGGCACGCAGCCAGACTCTCACAAGGTCATCTGAGTTCAGTGTAAAATCAACCTGGCAAGACTTCTAAGACGAGAGAAGAGTGTAAACTAGGAACTTCTGAAGTTTAAACATTGTGTTATTTTACGTCGTTGTTCATGCTTTAGACATGGTGTGTGTGTGTTACTATACTTTTGCTCTGGTAAAGTTTCTGTAGCTACTATAGCTCACTTGGCTTGTTCTTAGAGTGCTGATGTTTGATTTTTTCCCCCAGTGTGGTTGGCTTTGGTGCTGACTGTGGTTGTGGTAACTATTCTGAGTGTGGGCTTCCTGATCATCAAGAGCTGCCATCTTTATCATAGTAAGTATTGCTTGTACAAGATAAACAAGTCATGCCCAAAAGCCAACTTGCTGTATAAAATCCATTTAAAAAAAAACTATAAAAAAAACAATGTGCATTTAAGAAGTGTGCCTCACACAGATGAGTGGGTTTTACAAACCACCTGTAGAAACACTCTTCACTCTACAGCAGGGGTTTTCAAAGTGTGAGGCGCGCCTCCCCTGGGGGGCGCCAGAGCATGTCAGGGGAGGCGCGGGAAAAAATATAATATAATAAAAATATAATAATTAAGTTTAATTATTGTATGTATTTTTTATTATATTTAAACATTTATTATATGCCTGCTAAGACAATGGGTCGGTTTCTGAGACCCACCCCGATTCAAAGCTGTAATGAAGTTCACGGCCCTTTGGCCGCCGGGAAGGAGGCGGAGAACCGAAGCAGTTTTAAAGTGATTTATTAATGACAGTGACGGCAGCTCCGTCTAAACCAAAACAAACGGACGGCAGATCCTCACGGAGACTGCCGTCAAACTGAAAGCAAAAGTAAAATATGTCCGTGTCCGGTCCTCTCTCGGCTTCCTCTGCCCTTGTTCCTCCTTTTATGATCCAGAGCTCCTTCCGTGGGATCTGAGGCAGCTTACGCGGTGGCCTCACTCCGTTCCCACGGCGCTCGGCCACGTATATGTATATATACATATATATATATATATGTATATATATATATATATATATATATATATATATATATATATATATATATACATATGTATGTGTGTGTGTGTGTGCGTGCGTGCGTGTTTGGGAGGAGGGGGGCGCCAATGGATAAGTTGTGTCAAAAGGGAGGCCCACTGTCTTAGACTTTGAAAAACCCTGCTCTACAGTATATACACCAGACACTTCCCTTAAACTTCTTACTCAAGCACTTAATTCTCTGATTGTGTGTATTGTCTCTTCATTTTGAATCACTGAATGCCTTCTCAAGAAAGGCATCTGCTAAATGACTAAGGCCGCATTTACACCGCACTGTTCAATTGACTCAATTCCGATTTTTTTCTCACATGTGGCACAGATCAGATATGGCCCATGTACGTGTAAGCAGTAAGAAATCACATGGATTCCAATTTACTCAAATCAGATTCAGGCCTTGTCCATATGTGGAAATTTATGCGATATGAATTGGATCTGTGTCCTCGTGTCTGCAGTGTAAGCAGGTACAAGGGATTTTTACCTGTCAATGCGATTCGCGCATCATTAAAAACCATAGCGAATGATGTCAACTCTGACGCTTTCATTTCAGAACAGAATTTAGAATAGTTCCAAACCTTAAATCTCATCCACGAGGACTTAAACAGCTTTTATATTGTCATATAGCACAGGTATTAAAGTATGTTAACGAAAGCGAGAGAGCGCAATTTCTGCCACGTAACCAATATGCACTAATATAAAATTAGTGCATACATCACGTGCATAATTCACGCCATGGACATTACATTAAGATGCCTAAAGGTTTAAAAAAAGCCAATATATCAAAAGAAGATGGACAAATAAGTGGACTAAGATGGACAAATAATACTTTTCCGTCATAAACTATACTAATACAGCTTGTCAAAAGCTGCTAACAGATTATATACAGGAATAGAGAAAAGAGCACTCTTTAATTACCAGATGTTAGTCAGCGCCCGCTCTTTTTTTTCCTAGTCATTGCGCCTTTGCCATGTGTAAATGCAGACGATCGGATACGAGTAACTTTTAAAAGGTGATGTGAAAAGGTCATCAAAAAAATCAAAAACAGTCACAAATTCAGAATTGACCATCAAGATCTGCAGTGTAAATGCAGCCTTAATGTAAAATATCCACCTTTTTCTACACTACACACACTGTATTTTACTTCCAATTTGGGAATTGAATTGTCCATTCAAAAGAACTGAAACAATTGACTTCAAATACTAAGGCTGAGGTTCTAGGATTTTCATACTGTACATAGTGAAAACTGAGTGAGATGTACGTTTGGGTTTGTTCTGTATTTTTTTTATCCATCCTGGTAATAGCGTTATTTTTGGCTACAAGCTACATTTTTCAGGAGCTTGTCAGTAGCTTACTTGAAAAGATGAAATGACAGTACTTATGAAATGTAGCTTTTCCAGTAGCTAGCTACTTTTTCCAGCAAGTAGATACCCTTATTTCATGCAGCTGCCATTTTAAAAAATGAAAGTGAGGGCGTACTCAAACTATGTTACCCGAACAGTGCCCAGGCCTGTTTTCCAGATCATTTGAGAAGTGTGAGTGCTCTGAATCGGGCTCAGGCATGGTTTACTTGACCGGCCCTGCCCAGTTGGAGAAGGTGTGCCAGAGCGTGGTTCACTTGGGCTTTTGCGCGGTACACTAGTAGTGTGAGTGCAAAATGCGCCTGAGCCCGAAACTGAAGACGAGACGTGACTTTTAAGGGACTGTTTTATTTGGATTTATAAGTCATTCTTACTGTTCAATCAGACTGTCGTAAACCCTCACTGCATGACAGCTGCACCCTCAGCAAACCTCCTAATTCTTGATGCACGCAGACTTTTTTTATTGTTTATGAGCGTCAAAAGTGGCAGATCTGTTCAGCAAAATATTTGACTGCGTGTCACTGCATCCCAAACGACTAAAGCAATATGACTAATGGAATCTCCTCTGTGTTGATCGAGAGCGCTTACTAAACAGTGCATCATCGTTGACGTAAGCATGCCCAAGCCCGACTGTAATATGAGTGCGGGCCATCAGGGGAGACGTGAGGGGGGACAAGCGTGCTTTGGCCCAGTTCAAGGCAACTATACATAGTGTGAGTACGCCCTGAGGCTGCGGTGGGAAGAAACCTAGAAGTAGAGGACCAGCAATGTAAACATTGTAACAACATGCTTAACAAACCTTTAGCTTTCCAAACTCCAGTCTAAGATGTTTGACAACTAATCAAACATTAAGCTTTGACATTATAATTATATTGTTTTAAGTGTTATTTACTTTATATTTACTTTAAAAATACATTTGTGATTTCGTAATATAACTCTTTGTGAAAAAATTGTTTCAATGTAACTAGCTACATTCAGGAAGCAACTTGTAGCTAGCTATTCTTTTTTTAGAAGTGTAATTTGACAATAGTTTCCTGTATACTTGCAGATGAATAGCTAATAGCTTATCAAACCACAGTTTCAGAGTAACCCCAACACTGAACTCTTTTAGGTTCATTTTTGTTCCTCCAGATTACTTTCACTCTGTATTTCCCACACTATAAAAAGCAATTGGTTACCTTATTTTTTTTTAAAGTGAGTAAATCCATTGTCTTAAAAGCAAAAAGGAGCATAAACCTATTGACTTTTTGTACATAGTTTGTTTACTGAATAATTTGAATGATGTGTGAAAATCTGTCTCATTTCGGTCTTCTTCTTCAAGGAAAATCCAAAATGGTGAGATTTTTGCCTCTTTCAGCCAGTAGACGTCCGCTCAAAAAGCCGAGCAAGCAAAAACAGAATTGTGAGTGACACTAACAACCTAGTATTATATAGTCACAAGATGTTCCAGTGATTGTGCTAATGAATTGTCTGTTTTCTTTTTCAGCGATGAGAAACGTCCCTGATGTGTCCATTGCAATAAGCAGCATTAATGGTAATCAAGTGTTTATGTCTTGAGATTGTTGGACAAATATGTTATTTTTGAAGCAACCATTCTTCATTAGTGTAAAAAAATAACTTACAAAAATGACTATGCCAATACTGAAAGGTAACATGTCTTGTGTATGATATACAGTATACATATGACTATATTTAATATTGAATTAAATAAGCCTATATTTTTGTAAAACAGCAAATATTCTGGTTGGGTTTAGGTCGGTGGTTCACCAGGTGATACGTTACAAGCAGGACATGTATCTGAAACATTAAAAATAATGTTTTTTTTCAGATCTGCAAAAATGTACACGGCGCCCTCTAGTGGATTTTTCATCTGAAAAGTGCAACAAAATGTAGCCAGAGCATGTATTTCATGTTTCGGAAATATATAAACCAGCTGTAAATTGACAGTAATTTCCTGTAGTTACTTGCTGATGAGTAGCCTATAGGTTATCAAACTAATTTTTTAGAGTAACAACACTGAAATCTTTTAGGTTCACTTTTGTTCCTCCAGATTAATTTCTCTCTGTATATCTAACAGAAATATAAATATAATTGAAATTATTGCTTAAGCCTACATTTTTGTGAAACAGCAAAACTGCTGGTTGGGTTTAGGTCAGTGGTTCACTAAGTGATACGTGTACAAGAAGGACATGTATCTGAAACATGTTCCAAAAAATTTTTTTTTCAGATTTACAAAAATGTAGACAGCGCCCTCTTGTGGATTTTTCATCTAAAACTTACAAAAAAACATACCCAGAGCAATATATTTCAGGTTTCAGAAATATGTAAAGTAACTGTGGCGCATATTTCCAATGAGGTTTGGATGCAAATGCAATTGTAAGAATAGTTTTTATAATAATCTTGACAGGCATCTTTAGAACAAGAATAATTTGATGAAATATTAAAAGACATGCATTTAAGTATCGCGGTGCAACCCTAATATACTAAATCATTTTAAAGCTTTGTACTTTTTCACAATTTTGTTGTTTAAATATTCATTAATTTAAATTTCAATGCCTTCAATGTTCAAGAAAGGATGCTAAATTAGTGGTCTTGATGTTTTTAAAACTATATATTTGGACATTACCAAAAACCAGGGCTTTTGTATACATCTTTAGCATCTTTTATGATGATGCATTCTATGTGTTCAGACAGAGAGGTAAACAAATGACCTGTTTTATCATATTCAAGGGTTTTTAACCCAGACCCTCTGTACATTGTTTTTCACAGATAATCTGCTCAAGGTAGCTGACCACATGTACAAAAGAAGTAAGTGTTTGGGTATTTATTATTAAGCAGAGTGATGTATATAATGAGAAATTACTTTGGTGGAATTTATGGGTAATTGTCGCTCACTGTTCCCCCCAAAAATGAAAATTCACTGTAAATTTACTCACCCGCAAGCAGACTTTTTAGCTGGAACTGTGGTACATGGTGATCCAAGTCAACGACTATCTGCACTCTGAGGGTTAAAAAACACAAAGTACAGACAAAACAAAGTTTATAACTGTGGGTCCTGATGATCAGGGTTGCCAGGTTTCTTCAGCAAATCAAGACCAATGGCCAATCAAAACTTGCCCAATAGTATAAAAACTCAAAATATGCTACCCCATTTGTAAAATACACATTTTACGTCAACATATGCATTATACACTAAATAACTATGTTATTATCAATGTAGATCATGTTATCAAAAAAAAATCATCTTACCTTACAATTGTCTGCACAACTTGCATCGTGTCTCTCGTGTCACTGATGTGGGCTCTCCAATTAAAGACATAATGGATGCAGCCGAATGCAGAACAACTCCTGCAAAACTATACCAATGATTGAACCTCAAAATTAGGTGCCAGTGTCCTGCATAGTTTACCTGCAACTTCCTTCAACTCACCTCCCTGGACATTTCTAATATACCTAGAAAGAGCTTGATTAGCTAGTTCAGGTGTGTTTAATTGGGGTTGTAACAAAATTATGCAGGACACCGGCCCTTTAGGACCGGCGAGTTTGGAAACCCCTGATTTAAGATATTCGTAGTTCAATTGTAAACTGACTTTCTTTCTAGATGACATATGCTTTTTTTGCTATTATTTAACAACAATCCTTATAAGTCAAAAACAAACAAAAACAGCAATTAACACGGTCTCTGACACACACAAAAGTGTGCACTCACCCACGTTAATCATCCTAGTAGCGTTTGTATCATTGGTAGAATATATAGTTTAGTATAAAAATGGTATAGTAAAATATCTCAGCACAACCATAAAAAAATAAATGAGGTAATATGTTAAACCTTTAACTCACAAAATAAGAAACCAACCCATGACAAGTGATTAAAAGTAGCCCAATTCTATGGGAAAACTGTGGACTTGGCAACCCAGCTGATGACACGTTGAGGTCTTATGAAACAAAGCAATCTGTTTGTGCAAGAAAACATGTAAAATGCCCTATAAGATGTTATAAACATGTATCACTTCCTTATGTGGCACAACCCCCTTTAAGAGCTACTAGAAAATGGCAAGCTATAAAAAAAAAGCCATACAAAAGCTGTTACGACCTCCTCATTTGAGTCGCAACATAAAAGAGCTCAGACAACAAAAGAATATGTTTGCAACTTATTTATTATATATAAAACTAATAGAACAACAAATCAAGGAACAAACAAATGTCTAGGGATAAACAAAGAAGAAAACTAACTTTAATTATATAAATCATGCCAAATGAAACTATAAGGTTAAAGAATTTTAGAGATTGTCTTGACAAGAGGACGGCCAAGTAGCCACACCATTCTCCAGAAACCAGCACATCACTCTCATTTAAATGATGTAAACCAATCGGTGGGTAAGCAGGCACCCAATCAGGATCTGGCTTCTAAAATCCACACATCAATCAAAAATGTGTGTGCCACATCCAGCCTTACATACAAATTTAAGGAAGAACCAGAATCCTACTGCTAAAATTAATGATGTGTGTATATGTGATTTGTGTTATAATGACCTCTTATGTTTTAGGTTTGTCACCCATCTATGAGATTACAGGTATGAGATGTTTTGCTTGATATAGTTTGGGATTTAGTTCTGCCCTACCTGCATGTTTATGTGTATTTATATTGTATAAAACTAGATGGATATCAAATGTCACAAGTTTGTCACTCTATTTGGTCCCACTTTATACTTAGTGGCCTAAACTAACAACTATGTAGTTGCATTAAAAATGAATATAATGTACTTCCTGTGTTCATATGTTGCTGAACATTCTGGTGCTCCTAATGTTGAATACAGCTAGGGTTAGGGACAGGTTTGGTGGTATGGAGAGGTTTAAGGAAATGTTAGGTTGTAAGGGATGCTCAACAATGTAATTAAAGATGTACTTAAAGCAGGTATTTAATCAATCACAAGTACAATGTAAAACATGTATTTACACAATAAATACATTGTAACAAATGATTACATTTCAGTGTAAGCACATATTAGTTAAGGCTACTTATTATAAATTGGGATCCACTATTTACTTAAGTTTAATCTATGTTGTGTTAATGTGCTTTTCTATTATCTTTTTTTCTCTTCTCTTTTTCTTAAATTGCAAGTTTTGAAAATATTGAATTTCATAAAGTCATGCCAATAAAGCAATTTTTAATTGAGGATGAATAGATGATAGAAGGAGAGACGGACAGAAAGAATAAAAGACAGAGGGGTGTATGGATGGATGGATGGGTGGGTGGATGGATAAACAGGTAGAAAGCAAGATAGATGGTATGAAAGACCAACATGGATGGATGATTAGAATAAAACACGGACAGAAGGATGGATGAATGGAATTCAAAAGACAGACAGACAGACAGACAGATTAATTGTTGGATGGATGGATGGAATGAAAGACGGATGGATGGATGGATGGATGGATGGATGGATGGATGGAATTAAAAAGACAGACAGACAGACAGATAATAATTGCTTGATGAATGGATGGACAAACAGGCAGATAGCAAGACAGATGGATGGATGAATGGATAGAGGAATAGAATAAAAGACAAACAGACACATAAATACATACAGTGCATAGCATCAACTTGAAGAAATTACTTGGGGGTGTATGGATGGATGATTAGAATAAAACACGGACAGAAGGATGGATGAATGGAATTCAAAAGACAGACAGACAGACAGACAGATTAATTGTTGGATGGATGGATGGAATGAAAGACGGATGGATGGATGGATGGATGGATGGATGGATGGATGGATGGATGGAATTAAAAAGACGGACAGACAGACAGACAGATAATAATTGCTTGATGAATGGATGGACAAACAGGCAGATAGCAAGACAGATGGATGGATGAATGGATAGAGGAATAGAATAAAAGACAGACAGACACATAAATACATACAGTGCATAGCATCAACTTGAAGAAATTACTTGAACTTGCTACAACTATAATTAAGAGTCTATTTCAGCTTTATTAATAAAACCTTTCCAAACGTACATAAATCTGACTTGAACAATTTATTTAATTTCAGAGGATGAAGAAGGGCAAAATGAAAATCTGGAACAAGAGCAATGTAATGCCTCTGTGCCACTGGAAGGTAAATATTTTACAGTGTGCACTTCATGAAAATAATGCATATGTAAAGCTTTCCTCTGTATTATTTTGACGATTTATTACTTTGAATAAAAATAACTCAACGGCCAAAGAGCCTCAAGCATTCCATGTGTTTGGGATATTAAACAGCATTTATATACTTTAAATTCATGGTAAGCGGAAACACAACAAAGCAGATTAATACTTGAAAAAGATGTCCACACCGATTTCCTCACCCATCAGCTGATGTAACAAAATCTGATGTCTGATGTTGATACAGTCTTTAGTATTTTGCTGTCACAACTAGTTCCTATCCAGTATAGCCTGACACAGTCTTTGAATTGCATAATGTCTCATTCGGTCACATTGATGATGACACGAGCTGATGATGGGTAGATCTTTGATGCCAGTATGTTGCTTGCGGCAGAATAAATTAAGCTGCAGATGGCCGCATGGTGAGACTGATGTTGCCATGGTTATAGAATTCTACAAGATACATTTTTAATAAATACTGTCATTTCTACAGAGATTAAACAATTACATCTGGCAGCACAAGACCACTGTCAACCTTCAAGTAAGTGATCATGTGTCCAGTTTGTCATTAATGAACTATAAGCCGATAAATAGCTAAAGCAATGGTCTCAAGCTCAATTCCTAGAGGGCCGCAGCTATGCAAAGGCTGTTTCTCAATTCCAAGAATACAGAGAACAGACTTGCGCTCTTGTGTAGACTGGCCTTGCCAGGTCACCTCAGAAGAACAAACTTGGGAGAAATGAGATGCTGCGTTCTACTAGATGGTCACATAATGAATTTTTAACGGAAAATTATTTAAACATTACTGCATTCATACAATTTTTTGTTTTTCCCCCTTTTCAATATAAATAACATGCACAAACACCTTACAAATATAGTTTACACAATACAAATAAAACACATTTTAATACCAATTTCAGCAAATAAACGCCCTTAAAGAGCCCCTATCATGGGTTACACATTGCATGGAAATGACCTTCCATGCATTGTGTAACAGCTCTAAGTGTCTGAGTCGTGGCTGGGCACCGATGTGTGTACCCTGATAGAAACCTATGTTTAGAATTCTAAAATGTATGGCGCTGTATGACATGTTGCTGAGCCGCGCATCTGGTGTGCGAGCCCTTTAAGGCTTAAATATGAAAGTGCACCATGTTTAAAACTATTGATTCATCTATAAAAGAGTCGACTCAAAGTGGGTCAACAGAATGTAAAACGTCTTTAGCCGTGTCGGCATGACGTCGATACGTTACTGAAGCCCCGCCCATTTGTTGCGCGTGGAGAGCGAGGAAAATTACGCCTGACCCCACCCAGTGTAGAAGGAAAAGGAGGAAGACACTATAGCAGATATATATATATATATATATATATATACAGTTAAAGTCAGAATTATTAGCCCCCCCTGACATATTAGCGCCCCTGTTTATTTCCCCAATTTCTGTTTAATGAAGGGAAGATTGTTTCAGCACATTTCTAAGCTTAATAGTTTTAGAAACCTATTTCTAATAACTGATTTATTTTATCTTTGTCATGATGACAGTAAAAAATATTTTAGTTGATATTTTTCAAGACACTTCTGTACAGCTTAAAGTGACATTTAAAGGCTTAACTAGGTTAATAAAGTGAACTAGGCAGGTTAAAGTAATTAGGCAAGTTATTGTATAACGATGGTTTGTTCTGTAGACTATCGGAAAAAAAATTTGCTTAAATGGGCTAATAATTTTGTCTCAAAATTGGTTTTTAAAAAATTAAAACTGCTTTTATTTTAGCCAAAATAAAACAAATTAAAGCTGCAAGCAGCGATGATAGGGACCTCGCACCCGGGCTCACCGCCGACCGGTGGCCTCAAGATGACAGAGAACAGCGAACAATATTAATTTAAGCCAATGTATATGTAAAAAACCTGAGAAAATCACAGATTTATGCCAAACTTCCTCCTGTCAGCAGGTTGCGCTAAGACTGTGAGTCAATATTGGCATGTAGATGCCTTCAGGAGATAAATTTTATCAACCATGTAAATTTTCAGGCAGATCGAACATTGTTTGGCTGAGTTATAAGTAACTTCCTATTGCCAGCAGGTGGCGCTATGACTGTGACTCATTATTGGCTTGTAGATGTCTTCAGGAGAGGATTTTAATAAACCATGTGAATTTTCAGGCAGGTCAAACATTGTGTGGCTGAGTTATAAGCCAAACTTCCAGTTGCCAGCAGGCGGCGCTATGACTGACTCATTATTGTTATGTGGATGTGTTTAGGAGAGGACTTTTATCAACCATGTGTAGTTTCAGGCAGATCGGACATTGTGTGGATGAGTTATGAGGACTTCCTGGTCAATGGCGAAGCGTTGAGGTTTGTCATGCCGCCACGGACACACCCCTCTCCGAAAACTCTAGATCTTCGCAATTTAACATCGCCAAGGCCTTTAGATGACAAAACCAAATTTTGGTATTGATCGGATAAAATCCCTAGGAGGAGTTCGTTAAAATACTACGCCTGGAAATGGCAAAAACGCCACTTTTTTACAGCAGGAAGTTAAAAATATCCGACTTCCTGTTGAGTTTGAGATATGGCTCCAAGAGACTTTTTCGTATGTTTTGGCATGTTTGAGGTGTGTGCCAATTTTCGTTCATGTGTGTGATTCGTATATCAGGGGCTCGTCCGATTAATTTTGGTAGGTGGCGCTGTCGAGTCATTTTGCCACGCCCACTTCAATATTGTTATGTGGATGTGTTCAGGAGAGGACTTTTATCAACCATGTGAAGTTTCAGGCAGATCGGACATTGTGTGGTTGAGTTATAAAGCCATCCTGGTCAATGGCGAAGCGTTGAGGTTTGTCATGCCGCCACGGACACGCCCCTCTCCGAAAACTCTAGATCTTCACAATATATCATCGCTTGAGCTTTTAGATAACACTACCCAATTTTGGTGCTGATACGATAAAATTTGTGGGAGGAGTTTGTTACTCTGTAAAACATGTCATTTCCTGTGGCCAGCAGGTGGCGCTATAACTGTATCTGGATATTGGCATGTAAACGTGTTCAGGTCAGGACTGTTATTAAACGTATGAATTTTGAGGCAGATCGGATAATGCATGCCTGAGTTATAACGACTTCCTGTTTCGTGGCGAATCGTCAAACTTTGCGAGGCCGCCACGGACACGGCCATCGACGAAAACTCTAAAGCTTCGCAATTTAACATCGCCAAAGCCTTTAGATGACAAAAGCCAATTTTGGTGTCGATCGGATAAAATCCCTAGGAGGAGTTCGTTAAAGTACAACGCCTGGAAATGGCAAAAACGCCACTTTTTCGCCGCAGGAAGTCAAAAATATCCGACTTCCTGTTGGGTTTGAGATATGGCTCCAAGAGACTTTTTCGTATGTTTTGGTGGGTTTGAGGTGTGTGCCAATTTTCGTGCATGTGTGTGATTCGTAGATCGGGGGCTCGTCCGTTTAATTTTTCTAGGTGGCGCTGTCGAGTCATTTTGCCACACCCACTTCCGAGACCCATAATAAACGTAAATTTTCGCCACTTCTGAGGCGTGTGCAAAGTTGCGTGAGTTTTCGGGCATGTTTAGCCCCTCTAAATCGCGATTCATTGGAGAGAAGAATAATAATAATAATTAAAGCTGCAAGCAGCGATGATAGGGACCTCGCACCCGGGCTCACCGCCGCCGGTGGCCTCCGGATGACAAAGAACAGCGAACAATAATAACTTAAGCCGATATATAAAAATAACCAGAGAAAATCACAGATTTATGCCTAACTTTCTCCTGTCAGCAGGTGGCGCTATGACTGTGTCTCAATATTGGCATGTAGATGTGTTCAGGAGAGGATTTTACTAAACCATGTGAAGTTTCAGGCTGATCAGACATTGTGGGGCTGAGTTGTAAGCCAAACTACCTTCTGCCAGCAGGCGGCGCTATGACTGACTCAATATTGGCATATAAATGTGTTCAGGAGAGGAATTTAATCAACCATGTGAAGTTTCAAGCAGTTCAGACATTGTGTGGCTGAGTTATAAGCCAAACTTTCTGTTGCCAGCAGGTGGCGCTATGACAGACTCAATATTATTATGTACATGTGTTCAGGAGAGGATTTTAAACAACCATGTAAAGTTTCAGGCAGATCAGACATTGTGGGGCTGATTTGTAAGCCAAACTACTATCTGCCAGCAGGTGGCGCTATGACAGACTCAATATTATTATGTAGATGTGTTCAGGAGAGGACTTATATCAACCATGTGAAGTTTCAGGCAGGACGGACATTGTGTGGTTGAGTTATAAGGACTTTCTGTTCCATGGCGAAGCGTTGAGGTTTGTCATGCCGCCACAGACACGCCCCTCTCCGAAAACTCTAGATCTTCACAATATATCATCGCTAGAGCTTTCAGATGACACCACCCAAATTTGGTGCTGATACGAAAAAATTTGTAGGAGGAGTTTGTTACAGTGTAAAACATGTCATTTCCTGTGGCCTGTAGGTGGCGCTATAACTGTATCTGGATATCGGCATGTAAACGTGTTCAGGTCAGGACTCTTATCAAACATGTGAATTTTGAGGCAGATTGGATAATGCATGCCTGAGATATAATGACTTCCGGTTTTGTGGCGAATCATCAAAGTTTGCGAGGCCGCCACAGACACGCCCATCAACAAAAACTCTAAAGCTTCGCAATTTAACATCGCCAAGGCCTTTTGATGACAAAACCAAATTTTGGTGTCGATCGGATAAAATCCCTAGGAGGAGTTCGTTAAGATACAACGCCTGGAAATGGCAAAAATGCCACTTATTTGCCGCAGGAAGTTAAAAATATCCGACTTCCTGTTGGGTTTGAGATATGGCTCCAAGAGACTTTTTTGTATGTTTTGGCGTGTTTGAGGTGTGTGTCAATTTTCGTGCATGTGTGTGATTCGTAGATCAGGGGCTCGTCCGTTTAATTATTATAGGTGGCGCTGTCGAGTCATTTTGCCACGCCCACTTCAATATTGTTATGGGGATGTGTTCAGGAGAGGACTTTTATCAACTATGTGAAGTTTCAGGCAGATCAGACTTTGTGTGGTTGAGTTATGAGGACTTCCTGTTCCATGGCGAAGCGTTGAAGTTTGTCATGCCGCCACGGACACGCCCCTCTCCGAAAACTCTAGATCTTCACAATATATCATCACTAGAGCTTTCAGATGACACCACCCAAATTTGGTGCTGATACGAAAAAATTTGTAGGAGGAGTTTGTTACAGTGTAAAACATGTCATTTCCTGTGGCCTGTAGGTGGCGCTATAACTGTATCTGGATATCGGCATGTAAACGTGTTCAGGTCAGGACTCTTATCAAACGTGCGAATTTTGAGGCAGATCGGATAATGCATGCCTGAGTTATATCGACTTCCTGTTTTGTGGCGAA